AACCCAGGGGCCTCATGTATGTGAGGTAAGCACTCTACCACTGAGCCACCTTCCCCAGCCCCTCCATGAGACTCTTATCTCCAATAAACCACAAGAAAACCAGAAGTTGGTCCCAAGACCAACTTAAAAAAACAAAACAAAAAGGCAAGTTTTTGCCTCTCAAATTAGCAAGTACATGTGCACATGTGTACATGTAATTTGTGTGTATGTGGTGTATATGTGTAAGTTCTGGGGCTTGAAGTCAGTCTGGATGGCTCAGAGGTAGAGTGCTTGCCATGCATGCATGAGGAATTGGGCTCAATTCCTTAGCACCACATAAGCAGAAAAAGCCCAAAGTGGCGCTGTGACTCGAGTGGTAGAGCACTAGCCTTGAGCTGAAGAGCTGAGGGACAGTGCCAGGCCCCAAGTTCAGGCCTCACGACCAATAACAAAAAAGACTAGTACTCTCTGTTGATCCACACAGCTTTACTTCTGACTTTTTGGTGGTTAGTTGAAGGTAAGTCTTGAAAACTTTCCTGCCCAAGGCTGGCAGAATCTTAGACCTCAGCTTCTTGAGCAGCTAGTACAGGTGCTCATCTTGGACAGACATATTTCAGGACAATTTGATAGTACCTTAAAAGAAAAAAGCTGGGCGCCTGTAATCCTAACTACTCAGGTGGCTGAGATCTGAGGATCACAGTTCAAAGTCAGCCCAGGCAAGAAAGCCCATAAGACTCTTATCTCCAATAAACCACCAGAAAACCAGAAGTGGCACTGTGGCCCAAGTGGTAGAGCACTGGCCTTGAGCTGAAGAGCTGAGGGACAGCGCCCAGGCCCCAGAATTCAAGCCCCACGACCAAAAATAAAAATCCTGCTTTTCTATTCAGTAATTCTACTTCTGGGAATTAGCCTTAATAACTTGAGGAAATTGGGAGGGGGGGGGCGACTTTATACTCAAGGATGGGGATCCTGGGAATGATGCGTTTCTGAAGCCAACAGGAAACCACCTAAATGGCCAGTCGGCCTCATAGAGATGCCGCAGGGCGTGTGAATCTGTTTGATGAAGCAGGCTCTCTAGGGGTGCTGAGTGAAAACGGCAGGGTTCACTCAAGAACAGCTGAACCCCACTGAATTTGTTAAAGGTGGGACAAAGATTTGCCCAAAAAGCTTTCAAATGGCTGGAATGGGCCTGCCTAAGTCTGGGAGAAGTTTGTCCAGGCCCCTAACGTTTAGCCTGATGTATACTGCTGTGTGTACAGCTCTCGAGGACAGAAGAGGCAGAGCTAAACTACAAAAGCTGTGTGACAGCTTCGTTCTGCTGATGAACTATTTTTCTAGAAATGAACAGGGAAAGAAATGCCTATAAATCCTCAGGTACAAGCTGGGCGCCGGTGGCTCACACCTGTCATCCTAGCTACTCAGGAGGCTGAGATCTGAGGTTCACAGTTTTGGGGGGGGTGTTTTGTTTTTGTCAGTGTGGGGCTTGAACTCGGCCTCGGTGCTGTCCCTCAGCTCTTCAGCTCAAGGCCAGCACTCTACGGCTTGAGCCACAGCGCCAATTCTCGTTTTCTGAGTGGTTTATTGGAGATGAATCTCTTGGACTTTTCTGCCTGGGCTGGCTTTGAACCATGATCCTCAGATCTCAGCCTCCTGAGTAGCCAGGATTACAGGTGTGAGCCACTGATGCCTAGCAAGATTCAGTTCTAAACCAGCTTGGGTAGGAAAGACCCCAAGACTTATCACCAGTGAAAACCAGAAGTGGTGCTGTGGTTCAAGGGAAAACAGGCCCTGAATCCAAGCCCCATGACCAAGAACAACAACAAATCTTCAGGTGCTTAGAAGGAAAGCTGGAAGAAATAAAGATGGAAGTCGGGCATACCTCCATCATCCTTCACACACATGTAGGGGCCAGGACTCTTCCAGGATCCAAGGCACAGGTCATTCCTGAAGTCACAGGAGCTTACAAGCCAAAGCCCGCACCCCCCCCAGCCCGCGCCCCTGAATCGACCTGGGAGAAGGGAAGGGGTACTTGCTGGCTCAATCAGTCCCACTGCTCCTGCAGACTCGGTGGCACCGATGCACAACCAGAGGATTAGGGCGCCACTGGCCCCCAACCACGTGCTGGAGGAGGTGCGTTTGCACCACGTGGAGTCCATCAGCGACCTGCACAGCGGAGGTGAGCAGGGCAGGGGTGAAGGGTAGATGTTTGGGGCACAGAGGAAAGAGAATGCACCTGCGGCACCTCCCCCCCCCATCCTCTGCAGGCCTGCTGCGCCCCTATCTGGCTGAAGAGGTGCGGCCGTGGGAGGAGCTGCTGGGCGTGCTGCCCCCGTCGCTGTGTGCGCAGGCAGGCTGCGGCCCGGGCTGTGGCCGTGGGGGGTTCCTGCTGCTCCTGGCCCTGCTGGTGTTCACCTGCCTGGCGCTGGCCATTCTGGCTGTGTACTTGAGTGGTAAGGCACAGGCAGGGCAGGAGGGATGAAGGAGAGGTGTGGGGTGGGGTTTGCAGTGAGGAAGGCTGGGTGTGACGGGAGGGGGGGTGGTCAGTGGGTGCCCCCTGGAGCTGGGCTGGTGGGGGAAGCCATGGGGTGGCATGTGACCTGCCTGGGTTTCACAAACGCTTCACAGTCCCCCCCTTACCCCCTCCCCCCAGTGCTGCAGAGCGAATCGCTGCGGGTGCTGGCACACACGCTGCGCACACAGGAGGAGACGCTGCTCAAGCTGCGCCTCGCCAGCCTCAGCCAGCTCCGAAGGCTCAACTCCAGCACCGCCCGGGCGCCCAGCTGAGGGGGCCCCAGGGCCAGCGTGTCTGTGGGTGTCTGGCAGGCCTCGCCTCTCTGCTCCCGATGCTGGCTGTGTCTACCCCAGTTTCTTGATGAGATTTTCTTATTTTTTCTTTCTGTAGAAGAGCCTGACGTGCCTCTCTAGCCGCCTGCCTCTGCTGACTTCCCCAACCAGGCCTGGCCCAGCCTCCTGGTGCCAGGGCACTGCTTTGGATGTCCCAAGGTCAAAGGCTGGGGCACTTAAGTCTTACTGGCAGCCTTCCGTGGCCGGTCAGCAACCTCTGGCCACCCCCAGAAGTCTAGAAATAGCTGACCCTGCTCAGTCACCCACTCTTGCCAGGACTCCCAGTGGTGGGGGGTCCGGCCTCAACTTCCAAAGACAGATTGGGGGAGGCCCCCTGGGGAAAGAGACTGCCTTAGAGAGCAAGGGGGGGGAGAGATGCAGTGGGGAACAAGGGGGAGGGGAGGGGAGGGAACACCGTGAAATCCCCAAGACCCCGAGACCACAGGAGGCTAGGCAGGACATCATTTCTTGTCATCTTTAAAAACCAGCACACAATTCCATTCCAAGTAGCTCTTGACCTTCCTCCCTGCTAGGGGGGGTACCTATCCAGGCACCCTAAGAGAGCAAGGCCTAAGAAAGAAAAGGCAGAGCCCCCCACCCACCCTCCCGCCTGCCCCCTCAAGCCCTGGGACAGGCACACACTTGGGCACCCTGAGATGGGGCAGGAAGAGGCCGCAGGGGCTGAGTGCAGGGACAAAGGAAGGAGCCAGACCTCTAAGGGTGCTGACCTCCCCCTCCCCAATCCTCCCACCCTGTGTTCTGTTTTTCGGTTTTTCTCATTTAAAAAAATAATAGTAATAATAATAAAGTGACAATCACTGGCAGGGGCCAGTTCTTGCACCATTTTCGGTTAAAAAACACAGCCAGGGGCACGGACAGTCTTGGTGATCGGCTTCAGAGGATGTCCGCCCGCTTATCCCGCGTGCGGCTCCGGGCCTTGGTTTGGGCTTTGAAGGCGGCAGCGTTGTACAGGTGCTGGGGGGGGGGGCAAAGAAAAGGGGGGAAGGGGGGTGGAGAGTGGACCTAGTGAGCAGAGAAGGCAGAGAAGGAGGGAGACCAGATCCTTCCTGCAGCTCACAGGAAGCTCCCCCTCAAGGGAAAACAGCCGTGGGTGAAGGGTACAAACCTTCTCAAAGCGAGAAATCCTGCAGGCCTTCAAGGCAGAGGCGTCCAGCACGAGCACGGGGCCTAGGCCAAAGACATCCCGGAGGAACTCATTGTTCTGGGGACAGACAGAAGGGCAGTGAGCTTGGGGCCTTCCCACGTGGCCAGGCGGGGCGGCCTCCCCCCGTGATGTTCTTCCCCACCCAGACCTGGAGGTGGTGGTGCAGGCCGGACCCCAGCACCTCCTTGAAGGCTGCGTAGATTCTGCGCCGAGCCCAGCTGTCCACGTAAAGCACTTCAAATCCAAAGCGGATTTTCTCTTCCTCACATTCACCACCCTGTAAGGGGGGTAAGACCCACACCGCTGGGCTTTGGTGGCTACATCTGGGGACACACACATGCTATGACACACATGCTCACACACACACACACACACACACACCTCAATAAAGTGCAGCACAGCACGGAAAATCGAGCGCTGGCGCCGGCGGTCGGCCTTGGCACGGTACTTGTTGCTGTCCGTGGCTAGCGTGCGCAGAGCGCTGCACAGGGCCTCCATGTCCTCGTAGATGAAGTCCTCCTGCGCGGAGATGGAGAGCAGGCTCCAGCTCTGCAGGGTGGCAGCCTTCCTGGCTGCCACTCGCCACCCTGCCTCCTCCCTGCTGCACCTTGCAGCCCCTTCTAGGCCTCTGCCAAGGGGGCCGCCCCTCATCCTAGCTCCGAGCCTGTCAACCTGTGGCCACCTCCCCCGCTTCAGAAGGACCCCGGGCTGCTGCTTCCAGAGACATGTTCTGTTACTTAGTCTGGGGAGTCCCGACAGCTAGGCTACCCCACCCCCCGCCGTCTCTCGCACCTCAAGGTCCCGGGCGAGCTCAAAGAGCAACGCGATGGTCTCGCCGGCAGCGATGCGCAGGTTCACGCTCTCACTGGACAGCAGCTGGGGCAGCCGGGGCAGCTGCCTGGGGAAGGGGCAGGCTAAGCTAGCATGTAGGTGGGAGGCTCCTCCAAACGCTCCCCTTGCGCTCCCAGCGGGCAGCCGTGCCTACCTGTCAAGGATATGGCGGAGATGGGTGCTGGGGCAGATGGTGAGCAGCAATGCCCAGGCCTGCAAGGCAGCACCGAGCAGGCCATGCAAACTGGCGGGGATCACAGCAGGGGCGGAGCCGCCTGCAGCGCAGTGCCGGCTGAAAACAGCTTCTAAGCAGGCCAGGCAAGCCAACAGGTCCTAGGAGCACAAGAAGGCAAGAGAATGGTTTAGGGACAAAGTTATAAGCTGTGTGTGTGCACGCACGCGTGCGCCAGTTCTGGGGTTTGAACTCAGGGCCTGGGCACTGTCCCTGAGCTTTGTAGCTCAAGGCTAGTTACTCTACCATTTGAGCATAGCTCCATTTCCAGCTTTTTGGTGGTTAACTGGAGATGAGCATCTCATAGACCTTCCTGCCTAGGCTGGCTACAAACCCCGATCCTCAGATCTCAGCCTCCTGGTTAGCTACAATTATAGGCATGAGCCACCAACAGTGCCCAGTTCATGTTGCTGCTATCCGGGCCAGCAAGGGAGGACTCTGATGGTAGAGCTGTGGGTGGCTGAGCAGGAGATACCGGGGCTGGCTTGGGGCTGGCTTCGGGCGTTCACCTTCAGATCTGAGCCTCCTGGGTAACTGGCATTAGCGGGGATCTTAGGAATCCTTAACACCTCTGTCTCAAAGCCACTCACCTGGATGTCGGCGGCAGCCACGTAGCAGCCCAAGCCAAGAGCAGAAGCACACTGTTGGGAGAACAAAGCCAGGCCACGGTCAGGGGTGAGCCTAGGTTCTCAGTCATGAAGCAGGGCAGGTGGAGCCCACCCTCTGCTTAGAGACGGGGTGGAGGAGAGGCTTGATGGAGGCGGGACACTCACGTGCAGCCGGGCGGTGGGGCTAGCTGTGCTGTCGCTGAGCACCGAGACCAGCAGGGGCTGCAGGCTGCGGAACAGCTCCTCTCCTTTGGGTCCGGGGCCCAGCTGTATACAGAGCAGGCCGAGCACAGCAGCAGCCAGGGCCTGTTCCTCACCCTTCCCTGCAAGATGCTTTTCGGTTAGGCCAGGCAGCCAGTGTCATCGCCTGCCCCACACACCCCACACCTGACCTTTCTTGAGGCACTTTTCCAGGGCATCAGCCAGTGTGAGGCAGCGCTCCAGCAAGAAGTCAGGGAGCAGATGCGAGGCGAGAGCTGGACGCAGGCTATCCAGAGCTCCCTGCCGCGTCTTGGCACTGGGGGAATTAAAGAAGTGCGGATTGGGGCTGGGAAGGTGGCTCAGTGGTAGAGTGCTTGCCTTGCATGCATGAGGCCCTGGGTTTGATTCCTCAGCATCACAGAAGCAGAAAAAAGCCAGAAGTAGTAGTGTGGCTCAAGGGATAGGGCACTAGTCTTAAGCTGAAGAGCTGAGGGACAGTGCCCAGGTCCAGAGTTCAGGTCCCACGAACGACCAAAAAAAAAAAAAAGGGGGGGGGGGGTTGCCAGTGGTTCACGCCTGTAATCCTAGCTACTCAGGAGGCTGAGATCTGAGGATCGAGGTTCCAAGTCAGCCCAGGCAGGCAAGTCCATGCGACTCTTATCTCCAGCGAACCACCCCCAAAAGCCAGAAGTGGAGTTATGGCTCAACTGGTAGAGTGCTAGACTTGTGCAAAAAAGCTCAAGGATAAAACCTAGGAACTGGAATTCAAGCCCCAGGATCAGCGCACAAACACACACACACACACACAAGCGAGGTCATATGGGCCGATCCTCCTCTCTCGCTCGTACCTGGCAGAGGCTGATTAGGACCCTGAATATAGATAGGCGTTGGCTCGCAGCCAGAGGTACCTCTTGTCTGTGAGGCAGTCCACATATTCCTTTAGCTTTTCCTTAAGGTCTTCCTGCTGACCCTGCTCATCCACGGCATCACCCCCTGCAAGGCCAGTGGGTCAGCACGACTTCTTGCCCTTGTTCAATGGAGCCCTCTCTGAACCCCTGCCAGAAACCGCCACCTGCTCTCACCCAGGCCGTCCTCGGCAGCGGTGCTGACAAGGCTGGGGCATTCGCTGGTGGTGCTGCGGGCCTCGCTGGCTGCATCATCCTCACTGGACCCTGAGTCCGCTTGGGCACTACTCCGGGCACCTGGGAAGCATAAAATTGGCATTTGAGAGCCAGGCACTGGTACTTCATGTCTAACTAGTCAGGAGGCTGCTGTGATGTGAGGATTGTTGTTCGGAGCCAGCCTGGGCAGGAAAGTCCATGAGACTCTCATCTCCAATAAATTACCAAAAAGCCAAAAGTGGAACTGTGAGTCAGGTGATAAGTGCTGGCCTTGAGCAAAAGGAGCTCAGGAACAGTGTCCAGGCCCTCAGTTCAAGCCCCCAGGACTGGCACAAAGGAGAAAGGGAAAGAGGGAGAGGGAGAAAGAAGAGATTACTGGATCAGTTGCCCAGAATTTAAAACCAAAGTTTCTCTAATGACAAAATAGAGTGTCAAGAGCAGCTCTTTCAGGTGGAGTAGCTGAAGACAAATGAGCTACAGCTCTGCTTCAGGCCAATACACTTCTCAAGTTACCTATGAGCCTGGGGCAGAAGCCAAGCTCCCTGGACCTCAAATACATATATATACTTTTTTTTTTTGGTCGGTCGTGGGGCTTGAACTCTGGGCCTGGGCGCTGTCCCTCAGCTCTTTAGCTCAAGGCCAGTGCCACTTGAGCCACAGTGCCACTTCTGGTTTTCTGGTGATTTATTGGAGATAGGAGTTTCATGGCCTTTCCTGTACCAGCTGGCTGAGCCCCGATCCTCAGCTCTCAGCCTCCTGAGTAGCTAGGATTACAGCCATCAGCACCCTGCTTCAAATAAAATTTTCTTTTGAGCTTCCTTTATTCTGCTCAGGACTATTAGCTCTTGGTATAAACATACTGGCATCTCCTGATCCTGAAAGAGCAGAAGGTGGCCCTTGACTATATCAGCTTTTAAAAACAGGTTCACCAGGCTCAGAAGGTGGCTCAGCTGTAGAGTGCTTACCTAGCATCCATGAGGCCCTGGGTTTGATTCCTCAGCACCACATAAACAGAAAAATCCGGAAATGGTGCTGTGGCTCAAGTGGTAGAGTGCTAGCCTTGAACTGAACTGCTCAGGGACAGCCCCAAGACCAAAAAAAAAACACAGGTTCACAATAGGGAAATATTGGGGTCCGTGGCGCCAGGACGTGTGGGTTCACATGATGTGTAGATTCAGTCAAGGGCTAGGGACTGACTTTGGCAAGGATGACCAGATAGGTTTTAATTACCAGACTGGCTCTACAGCTCAGGTACTTATGCTCCTTGCCCGTAGGAAAATGTCCAGCCACACAGAGGCTTCTGCACACCTATTCTCTTACCACTCTGCATGCCCAAACAGCCCAGCCTTCTCTCACTCCAGCCTCTCTGCTCTGGTTCCTTTGGCTGCCATTACACAACACCTTCACTCTTCTCCACCGCTTAGGACTCACCCAGAAGTCCCTCCCATCGGGTTTCCCAGGTTTCCATTTGGGGTTGGCACTCTTCAGCAAATGGTGCCAGCACCCGTCCTTGTTATGAAATGGTTACAACTGAACAAATGTATCCCCACCAAAAGCCCCATTTGGGCGACGGTCAGGTTAAAGCTGTGTCTGGCTGGCACCCTACCCAAGCAGAATAAACATATGTGTTGACAGCACACCACAGACTTCTGGCGCAGGCTGATAAAGGAGACCCAAGGATCCCTTCGGACCTCAGTCCCTTCGGACTGCCAGGGCTCCAGTTTTGTACCGGCCTGAGGGCACCTCCAAAACAGGTGAGGCTTCGGTCCACTTCCCGGTTCTTCAGGGAAGAAACAGGCCTTGGCACGCGCGCGCACACACACACACACACACACACACACACACACACACACACGTGGGGGGGGGCTGACTGTCTTCCCACTTGGTCCACTGTCAAGCAAGGCTTATGGGGAGACGGAAGCCCGCGAGGTGGCGGCCCAGTCGCAGCTGGGGGCGCGGGAGACCCCCGGCGGGCGAGGCCCGAGTCTGGGCGCACACGTGGCCGGTGCGTCCCGGGGCACGTGCGGGCCTGGGCAGTGACAAGAGAAGACCGAGCTGACCGAGGGGCGTCCGAACCCCCGGAGGAACCACGTAGGGTCTCCCCCGCGCCCAGCCCCCACCCCGCGGCTCCAGGCTGGACCCCGCGCCCCCCCCCACTCACCTCCTCCGCGGCGCCGGCCGCCCTTGCGGGGCGCGTTGCCCTTACGGGCGCGGGGCATGCTGGGAAGCAGGAGTGCGTGTTGTGGCGGGGCGGGGGAGGGGGCGCGGGGTCAGGGTCCTGGCGGACAAGGGCTCCAGACCAGCAAAACGCTGGCCAGTGCACCGCACTGAGATTTGGACGGGCGACGGGAGCCACACGCCGCGCGCCCCACCATCTTCTCGAGGCGCCCCGCCCTGTCAAACTGGTCTCTGGGAAGGTAAGTTCCCGGACACCCCGCTCTGACCCAAATCCACGCGCCCGGGACTACGATTCCCAGAGGGCTGTGCGCACAGCTGAGGGCCCCCCTCCCCCTGCCGCCGGCTGGGCGCACCGCACCATGGGAATCGTAGTCCGCTCTGGAGTCCCACAAACTGACGCCGCTCCAACTAAACTATGCACCCACAATGCCCTGCGCCCTCCCTCCTCCGACCCTCCCACCCTCCGCCCTTCCCGCCCCGGGCAAGTCTCGCGGCGTGGTTGGCACTTCAGGACCCGTTGGAGGAGGGCACTTGCGAGAAGTTGTGAAGTTGCCTGGGTTTGAGGAACGTGAGAGGAGCTTGGGGTTTGATGGAATAGGGGAAATAGACAAACCTCAGGTGGTTAGAAAAAAAAATGTGACTTTTATAATGAAAGCAGAATATAGACAACGGTTTAGCACTTAATAGACGGGAACTCAGCTCTGCCTCAAGCCCCACTGCCCCTGCATGGGTTTCCTGTGACTTCTGTGTGGATCCAGTGAAGTGTAGGGCTGCCAACCCTAGTTTGCTGGAACACTGATTCTCTTTGGACCTGAGAGAGCCCCTGCGTCCCCCCCTCCCCTCCCTCCCCCGCTTTCCCACCAGGGATCCCAAGGGCAGTAGGGAGGAAGTGGGTGTTGTAGCGGAACAAAAAGGGGATTTCTCCCAGGGCTGGGAGGGCAACAGCAGAGAAGAGCTGGGCAGGGAGGGAGGGGTCCCTGGGCTTTTATGTAGCTTCTTTCGGTCCAGGCTTAGGTTTCTGGCAAGTAGGTCCCGTCCAGCCCCAGTAACAGCGGCAGCTGAAGGACTCCCAAGTTCCAAGGCTGCCATTTGGCTGCAGGTGCAGAAAGACTTCCCTTTGCCCTGGATCTCGCCGGACACAGCGGCCATGGCCGTGGCACCGCTGGTGACTGCAGGCCATAGCCGCCTTGGTCACACTGGTCACATAGGGGCCTAGGGTGCCCACCAGGTAGTCATGGAGACGCCAACATGCATCCTAGGGACAAGGGAAGGGTAGGTCAATGCTTATACTCCATAGTCTTGATGTATGTGGCCTCTCCCTCACCCTGGGAACCCCAGCATATGCTATATAAGGTAAGCGGAAGGGGGTAATGATCACCTCAGAGCTGGAGAAACTCAGGTCCCCCCAGAGCACCACACCGGCTGTCCCTAGTGCTGCACTCACACCAATGGTCTGCACCAGGTCATTCTGGAGATAAACGAGCTGTTAAGTCAGGCTGAACTGTCCCCCCCCCCACCAACCCTGGTTTTTTTAACCATAAAGAAACTGGTTCAATCTGGGCACCAGTGGCTCACAACTGTCATTCTAGCTACTAATGAGGCTGACATCTAAGGATCATGGTTCAAAGTCAGCCCTGGTAGTAAAGTCTGTGAGATGCTCATGTCTAATTCACCACCAGAAAACCATTAGGGATGCTGTGGCTCAAAGTGGTAGAGCACTAACTAGCCTTGAGCAAAAAGAGCTCAGGGACAGTACCCAGGCCCTGACAAAACAAACTGGTTCCCTGCCATGATCTGGACTCTACCTCTAGATCGTGGGGGCCCCTTTGCAACAGAGCTTCTGAGTGATTTCTCACGCTCTCCACTCAGAGAATGAGTCCTCTTGGTTAAAAGCTCCAAAGGCTAGGCCCTATCCATCTCTTGAGCCTTGCCTCATTGGTCAGATGTTTCTAGAATAGGGCCTTTTTCTTCATCAGGACCACTCCCCAAGTCTCCCTGGGCAAAGTCTTCTCAGACCTTTCTAACACAGGACCAGGGCCCTGGACTCAGACTTCCTGGTTTTAGCTTCTACTTACCTGAGACAGGAACCTCCCAGAGTTCTGATACGTGAGGCGGGTATAGGCCAGGACAGGTAGAGGGTGTATGTGCCCAGCCAGGGCTACACGGAAAGCCTCTTCCAAGCGGTATCGAACAAAGGCTTGGTGGTGGGCAGGTGGCAGCCTGGGTGGGAGGTAGATGCTGGGGAAGAGAGCACTGGAGGCGGCCCATAACCAATGCAGTTGGTTGTTTTGGGCAAGAGTAGCTGCACGACAGTGGCCGGTGTAGTTAGAAGCCATATTGTGCCAGCCGTTGCCACAGTCTGGGTAGTGATAGAAACCCCAGAGGCCATGGGGCCGCAGTGCCTTGCCCAGCTGGAGGGTATCTTCCATCAGGGCCCGGGCTGCCTGCTCAAAGCCAGCATGAGCTTTGTGGAGCTGTTGCTGAGGGTTGAGATCAGGGAACACCTGCTGCGCCCAAGTCCACGAGGCGGTCTGGTAGGCTCGGCGGTGGTGACCCCAGTTTCCAGTCCACAGTGGATACCACTCCTCCCAGTCCAGCACTGCCAGGCCAGAGAAGTTGAATGCCAGGCTGTGGTTGATCTGGTAGGCAGCTCGTGCCAGGTGGCGGTGTAGGGGCACAGCCTGGGGGATACCCCCATTGTAAGCTATGCCCTTGGGCCCAAGGTAAGGATAGAGGCCAAGCTGGTTTTTGTAGAAGATGGTGATATTCTGGCCATGGAGATGTTGGCCGTGGTTTGCTATGATGTCCAGGGCCTTGAGTGGGAGGCGTACACCAAAGCGGGTCTTACAGCGTACTGAGGGAACATTCCACAGCACAGAGAAAGGGCGCTCAGGAGCCTTCAAGAAGGGCCAGCCATACACCAGGCACAGTGCTACCCCCAGCACTAGGGCTGGGCCTAGGTGCGCGGTCATGCCACAGAGATGGAAACCTGCAGGAGAGACGAGGTGTGAGCAGACAGAGTCCATGGCCAAGGCCAGGCCTTTCCCACCGCAGGGAAAGCCCAGAAAGCAATCTGCCCAAGAATGAGGGCTGGGGCTAGGAATGTGGCTTAGTGGTAGAGCGTGCTTGCCTGGCATGCATGAAGCCCTGGGTTCAATTCCTCAGTACCACACATCAATAGAAAGAGCCGGAAGTGGTTCTGTGGCTCAAGTGGTTAAGAGTGCTAGCTTTGAGCACAAGCAGCTCAGGGACAGTGCCCAGGCCCTGAATTCAAGTCTCAAGACTGCCAAAAAAAAAAAAAAAAGTAAGAAAGAATGAGGGCAGGGCAAGGCATGGCTCTCTAGGGTCCAACTGGTTTCTCAGAACCACCACACCCCAAGCTAGACTGGCAGCTTCCCTCTAGCCTTCTCCCTCTCTGTCAAGGATATCAGCATGTCCTCTGAGACCTCTCCCACACAGCAAGTCAGAGTCCTCTTTGTTCTTCTCCCTTCCCCTGAAATATTCCTTGCTGGCCTAACTTCATTCCTATTCAGCACTCAGGTCTCTGCTGAACACCATTTCCTTTAGGTTTCTTGGATCAGGAGGGAGTGTCAAGACACTACTGAATTCCCTTGTCCCAGCCGTGGATCTTGCTACAGTCATGCCAGGTCTATTCTCTTAGTGTCTGTGTTGGGGGCGGGGGGAGAAGCTATCTGTGTAATTGGCTACGTCCATTTCTGGGCCTGGCACATAGTAGGTGCTCAGCGAATAGTAATGAGTGAAAAGGAGAGGGAATAATCACTGTCTCTTGGGCCTAGCAGGGTGGGAGGAGATAAAGGGGAAGTTATCATCCCATCAGTGACTCCAGGGCCAAGTTGGATCTGAGTGTCTTTTGTCAGGATGGAGGACATGAGCAGGGTCAGGATGGTTAACAAATAAAATGGTCGCAGCCACACCCAATGGAAGCCTTTATTCAGCCATACTAACGGCTCTGAGGCAGAACTATTAAGCCACTTCTGGCCCTGCTGGAACACAGGAAAGATGCCCAGGCTAAGGCTGCCTCCTCTCCCCCACTAGGGGCTTGAGGTACGGCCGGCCGCCTGGGCAGTCCAGTGACCTGGGGGATAGCCGCCTTCTCCTGGGTGGCCCTCAGATGTCTTTTTCCATCCAGAATATGGGACATCCCTTCAGGTCTTGGTACTGGGTCTGTATCAGGCTGGGTGGAAGGGGCACCGGCGGAGGTGGGGGTGGAAAGGAGGTGGGCAGGGGCAGGGGTGGAGGTGGCGGTAACGGGGGCCCCGTGTGGCCGCGTGGGGCAGGTTTGGCAGTGAGGCTAGGAGTCTTGCAGGGTGTCTGGGGCCAGGGGGTCTGAGGGAAGGCACGAAGCAGGGTACTAGGCAGCCGTCGGCTGGCGAAGACCAAGCCCTGCACAGGTTCACCCAGCTTGTAGCCCAGGTGTGCGTAGAAGTGCAGCTGGTCATGAGTGGTGAGGTGCAGCCGTCGGAAGCCCCGGGCCCGAGCAAAGGCCTCCAGGCCCTCCATGAGCCGCCGTCCAAAGCCATGGCCCCTCAGGGCCCGGGCTACCACCACAGTCTCCACTAAGAGACTCTGGGGCCGGTCTAGAACTCGTGACAGGCGAGCATGGCCCACCACAGTGGGGGCTGCTTCAGGGGAGGGGTGGGGGCTCAGGAGCATCAAGCAGAGCGGGAAGGCATCTGAGGACTGGCCCAGGGAATGGAGCCGGGAGGCCCGGCTTCGGGGCCACTGATCATTGATGAGGTCGGCACAAGCATCCAGCAGCTCAGGTCGGCAGTGGGCAGGCTCCAGGGTCAACTCCGCCAGGCTGGGCACTGGGATCTCCTTGGCCTGGGGCGCAGGATCCAGGGTGAGCTCAGGTGGGCTAGGACTGAGGTTCATCTCTCAAGGTAGATGGAAGCCAAAGTCAGTTCAACTAGCTTGCTGATGCTCAGGGAGGGGCGGCTCTGGCTGGTGGGTGGGATCCAGGGTGGGCTTGTTCAAGCTGAATCTCGGGGTCAGTTTTGGCTGGCATGCAGGAACCAGAGTCAGCTTAGCCGGGCTGGTACTCAGGATCAGCTCCATCCAGTGCTCAGGGTGTCTAGGGTAGGGGACAGCAGCCTGGCTGGGCCAGAGCTCAGGGTCAGCTCTTGCCTACATGTAGGATCCAGGCTCAGGTGAGGCAGGCTGGGAGCCAAGGTCACCTCCTGTTAGGCTGCAGGTGGCTCAGTGCCAGTCGGATAGGGCCATAGTCTCCAAGCAGTGGCATCTCCTCAAACCACAAGGCTCCCCTCCTGGGGAATAACAGCTGGGCTGGGCTGTATCGGGAGGACACAGTTGGGGTAGGGAAGGACTAATGAGTGCAAAGGGAGTTAAGTGTATCCTGAAACTGGGCAGCGATCTTACACTCACCTGATGGTACAGAGGGCCTGGAAGAGACCTGTTTTCTCTACCCTGGGGGAGAGAATTCAGGTGCATGTATCCAAGTATCCTACGACATATTGGAGGAAAGCTGAGAAAGATGGTAAGCTCAAGGCTTAGGGTAGAATCCAGGGGTTCTGGCTTCTCTATCTGCCTGGCTATTCATTTCTCCTCCCCAAGATGATCAACCCAGCCTGTTTCCCAGTTCTTTCTCTCTAGCATTCCACTACTAAGCCTGGCTGGCCTTGGACAGAAAATGCAAACCAGACACCATAGCTACTGCTTTCACCCATCTGAGGTTCTCTTTGGAAGAAACACCACCTCTCCAGGAGCTGCCCTGTTCCTTCCTTTCCCTACCTGGCAGCTCTCCCTCCAGTTGCCTCTTCAACTTCCTGGACCATGCCCATGTCTCACTGACCCTTGGGCACTCATTCTCGAAGCTTAGCATTCCCCTCCTTCTTCTGTCTTCCCTGCCCAGTCACAAAACCTCTGGCTCCTTTTCTGATTCTGCCCAGCTCAGGACATTGAACAGAGATCCAACTGACTCTACCAGATGGGGTCCCAGCAACACCAGGTGGGGGTGCAGTGTGGGGCCCGCAATTGCACCAGACAGTTACAACTGTGAGCCAGGTTCCCTCTGGGTTTTGTAATCACTCAAGATAAGGACCACAGCTTCCTTATATATCCAGAGGTGACCAACAGCCTCCAAGTTGGGGGCTCAGAACTCCTATGCGCAAACCCTATTGTTGTCCATCTTTTTAATTTATTTTTGTCAGTCCTGGGACTTGAACTCAGGGCCTGGGCACTGTCTCTGGGCTTCTTTTGCTCAAAGTTAGCACTCTACCACTAAGCCAAAGTGCCACTTCCAGCTGTTTCTGTTTCACTGAGGAATTGAACCCAGGGCTTCATACATGCTGGGCAAGCACTCTACCACTAAGCCACATTCCCAGTCCCCCATCTTTTGTTGTTGTTGTTGTTTGGCTTTTTTTGTGCACTGGTCCTCCTAAGGCTTGAACTCAGGACATGGGTGTTGTCCCTGGACTTTTTTTGTGCGTTCAAGACTCGCGCTTTATCACTTGAGCCCCCAGCTGCACTTCTGACTTTTTAGGTGGTTAACTGGAGATTAGCATCTCAAGGGTGTCCTGTCCCCGCTGGCTTTGAACCACGACCCTCAGATGTCAGCCTCTTGAGTAGCTGGGATTACAGGAGTGAGCGACAAGCTCTGGCTCTGCTCATATTATTTGAGATCTTGCCTAGCTAGGAGAGGATCTGTGCTGGAGGCTCACTCCTTTCCTCCTTATTTTTGTTTTTTTTTTCTCCCTGTGGTACTGGGGTTTGAACTCACGGCCAGCCACTGCGCCAGCACATGTGGTGTAATTTCTCACAGTGGTCTCCTCTCCTCTCCACAGAGCTCCTCCTGGTTCTCTTCCCGCCAGCCCTTGGAGCTAGTCCTCAATAATAGTTCCCAATTCTCCTCGTGCCACACCCCACCTCCCCTCGGCCCCCTCACCTGTTTCAGCCACCTCTCCATACAGAAAGAAGCGGCGCTCCCAAGGCCTGAAGCTTCAAGGTGGGCCCTCAGGTCTCACAACGCTCCCCGCCCCTACCCACAAGCTACCCCACAGGCTGAATGAACGCTGCCAGCGCAGCCCCGCCCACTGTGGGCGGGGCGAAGCGCGGGAGTGGGCGGGGCTGCCCCAGGGGCCTCGACTCCCCCCCCACCCCGCCCCTACATGGGTCACAGGTAAGGGGTTCGAAAGATTGACTCCAGGGCTGGGTGTGGCTCGGCCTGCACCCGAAGGGAGGGCCTGGGCACGCGGGGACCTCCAAGATGGGGAGGGGGGGGGGACGAGCGACGCGCAGGGGAGGGCGAGGCGGTACTGACATGTTAATAATGCTGGTGCTGGGGTGTTCTGTGTCCGCACGGCTCGGCTTCTCACGGTCTCCGGCTCACACTCCTCGGTCCTCCCGCTCCGGCTGCGTCCCGTTCTCCCCCCCCCCACCCCTCAGCGGTGTGCTGCGGCCGACACGTGCAGGTTTTTTTAACAGTCGACGGCGTCACTAACTCTGCCCTGAGCTCCTCCACGGCTGCCAGGCCCGGCCCCGGGACGCCGGAGCGTCACCGCCCCGGCCCCGCCCCCTCGTTCTGCGACGTCACAACACCAGGACGAGGGCGCAGGCTCAGTCCCTTCCCCGCCCCCTGTGGAGGCGAGGGCGTGGTTTCCGGATGGCCACGCCCCCTTCCTCCAGCCCGGTTGCCTTTTCAGACTCCGCCTCTAAGGTCCGTGCGTCTCCCAATCAGGTCTGGCTCGGATTCACTTCCGCTTCAGCTCAGCCCTCGCCCCGCCTCCGACGTTAGCTCCGCCCCTGCTTCCCCCGCCCCGCCTCAGCTCATCCCAGGCTCTGACCCTAAAGTCCCATTGGCCATTGGCGGGGAGGGGGCGGTTGTGGGGCTTGAACTTAGGCCCTGGGCGCCTTCCCAAAGCTTTTGTGCTTCACTCCACCTTCTGAGCCACAGCTCCAGTCCTAGTTTTCTAGTGGTTACTTGGAGATAAGAGTCTCACAGACCTTCCTGCTTGGGTTATCTTCGAACCATGATCTTCAGCCTCCTAAGTAGCTCCTGAGTCAGGCCTGAGTCACTATAACCTAGAGAGTGAGTCTCTCTCTCTCTCTCTTTCTCTTTTCCCCTCCCTCCCTCCTTCCTTCTCTCTTTCTCTCTATCTTGGGTCGGTCATGGGGCTTGAACTCTGGGCCTTTGTCACTGTCCCTGAACTCTTCAGCTCAAGGCCAGTGCTCTACTACTTGAGCCACAACATCACTTCTGATGTTCTAGTGGCTCATTGGAGATAAGAGTCTCATGGATTTCCCTGCCCAGGCTGGCTTTGAACTGTGATTCTCAGATCTCAGCCTCCTGAGTCACTAGGATTACAGGCCGTGAGCCACCAGCACCCAGCAGAGTCCCATTTTATTTGGGTTCCCTGGGGACAGGATCCTGCTCCCTGCCCAACATAGAAACAAGGTTCTGGTTAGTCGCTGCCCCCAGACAGATGTTAGACTTGGACTAAAAAAGAGGAACCTTTACGGTGCATCCTGGATACCAGAGCTGGCCCACTTTCAGCATTCAAATAAACAGATCTCCTAAATAAAATCACATCACGTCTGCTTTATTTGCTGGGTGGGGTGGTGCTAGTGTCTCAGTGAATCAGTAGGTCCTGCAGTGCTGGTTATCAAGTTATTCAAGAGCAGGTGAGCAAGGACCCCATCTCTGGAACCAGACAGCTTAGATCTGAACTTCTGTCGTTTCTTGCTGTGCAACCTCCCTCTCCCTGTGGATTCCTTGGTTTTCTTTCTCACAGCCTCATTGTGAAAACTAAACAAGTTAGCCAGCTTTAGTACAGAACAGGCCCTTGGTGGATGGCATCTTTTGTGAATGACCACTGGAAAGGCTGGTTCAGTGTCTCTGGAGGAATTGTCCATGATCCTGAGGAGTAACCTCATAGGACATGGAAAAGGATGATTGATCTCTGCCTCAGGTTCTAACTCCCTCAGCCTCTGTGTGTGTGTGTGTGTGTGTGTGTGTGTGTGTGTGTGTGTGCAGGACAGATGCCCAGGATAGTGTCTGAGTATCCTCCTGACTATGACCATGACTTGCGTGCCTGTGCTGTGTCTGAGGAACGCTGTGGTCACCTCAAGACTGCATGAGGTCTACTCAATGTATGGAACCTGCCCATCACCAAATGTCCCTCTGTTCACACGAGGCTCCCTGCCAGCCCTGGTAACAGCGACATTTGAACTGCATAGCCATCTGTGCCTGATCTTCAAGTGAGAGGGTACCCTTCAGGGTCAAGGGTCTGCCACCCTGTGTAAGCTGGATGGAGAAACTTGCAGGGTTAAGGAACAGTTGGGCCTGGGGGTGGCTGTGGCGGCGGGCACAGCGCCCATGGCCAGTACATAGGGCTTGACTGCAGAGAAGAGCTCCACTGGTAACGTTCAGGACGAAGGGCCCTAGTGTGGTGTCCATATACTCCTTGATGGCTTGGCATGATTCCTGGGTGGAAAGGGGAGTGTTAGAGAGACCACAGCCATGCATCCACTTACCTAGGGCAGCGGTGGGAAGGAAGGGCGGGACGGGATCTCCTCTCTGCCCCTAGGCCTCAGCTCACCTTGGTCTTTGTGTGTACCCAGCTCATCCAGAGCACGACTCCTGCTGCCCCTTGAGCTGCACTTTCCCCCAAGCTGTGCTCCAACTCTTCCTGGGGGGGAAAAAAAAAAAAAAACACAGACAACACAGCTCTGAACTGCCCTTCCTGGCTCCCATGGCAGATTTCTGTGACACTGATGGATGGGCTAAATAAATAAGTAATATAGAGCTATATATGCCAGGCACTGGTGGCTCACACCTGTCATCCTAGCTACTCAGGAAGCTGAGATCTGAGGATCGAAATTCAAAGCCAGCCCAAGCAGGAAAGTCTTGGAGACTCTTATCTCCAATGAACCCCCAGAAAACCAGAAGTGGTGCTGTGGCTCAAGTGGGTGAGCACTCGCCTTGAGCTGAAGAGCTGAGGGACAGCGCCCAGGCCCAGAATTCAAGCCCCATGAGAGACACACACACACACACACAAAAAAAGCACAGGGGTCCCAAGTTCAAACCCTACAACCCAGGAATGGGGGGGTGGGGTCCCCACAAAACTTACCAAGGGCAGAAGTTTTGTCATGTTGTAGAAGATCTGCACATAGGGCAACACAGGCAGGTGAGGGGCCCTGGCAGTTGCAGCCACACGGAATGCCTCTCCCACACGATGTCGCACGAACAGCTGTGCTTTCTTTGTGCCCACCAGCTCTGTGGGCATGTAGATACTAGGGTAGAGGGCACGGCTCTGGTTCCATAGCCATCTTAGCTGGTTGTTTTGGACCCGGATGTAATGTGAGCACTGCCCTGTGTAGTTGGCTCTCTGAAAGTCATAGTTGTAACAATTGGGGAAGCCATAGAAACCCCAGAGGCCATGAGGACGCAGTGTCTCGCCCAGCTGCAGGGTGCCTGCCATCCAGGCCTGCGCAGCTTCCTGGAACTGGTCTTTGGCTGCTTCCTCCACCTGGCTTGCTGGCCAATCAGGGTGCTGTGTCTGTACCAGGGCCCGGGAACGTTGCCGATAAATGTCCTTGGAATCCCAATTGAAGGCCCAGAGTGGGCGCCATGCCTCCCAGTCAATGACTGCCAGTCCTGAGAAAGCAGACACAGGAATGGCGGCTTGGATGTCCCAATATGCGCGGGTCAGGTGGGTATACAGGCTGGCATTCTGGGGCAAGCCACCGAATACTGGCTCCCCAGTAGTTGTATAGTAAGGGTAGGTACCCAGCTGCCAGCTGTAGAAAATAGTCATGTTAGGACCATGGAAGGTCTGCCCTGGGTTGGCGACCACATCGAAGACACTGACATCCACATCCACGCCGTACCTTTCTAGACACGGCTGGGTATTGGCATTCCACACGGTGATGAAGGGCTTGTTCGTTACCACAGGACCCCTGGAGCCTTGAGTCAGATCCAGCAAGATCAAGAAGAGAGTACAGATGCGAAGCAACTGGGCTGTGGTAGCACAGAGTGGGTCTGCGAACACCTGGCCAGGGGAGGCAAAGCTGAGGAGAGGCCTGGAACTTTCTGTCATCTGCTCAGGGCAGGTGGGATGAATCCCTTGCTCACATATCCATCCTTGGCCCTGGTTTTTGTTTTGTTTTGTTTTTGTCAAGTCGTGGGGCTTGAACTCTGGGCCTGGGCACTGACCCTGAGCTCTTCAGCTCAAGGTGAGCGCTCTACTACTTGCGCCACAGCGCCACTTCCGGTTTTCTGGTGCGTTCATTGGAGATAAGGGTCCCACGGACTTGCCTACCCAGGCTGGCTTTGAACCGTGATCCTCAGATCTCAGTTTCCTGAGGTGCTGGGATTTTAGGTGGAAGCCACCAGCGCTTGGCTTCTTGGCTCTGGTTTGAGTTAAACATTGCCCTACAGCGGCCAGGGAGGTCGATGAAGAGAAGCCCAAAGGGGAACACTGTCATTAGAGGAGATACGCCAATCACTTCTGTGGCCAAACCTAGGTCATCTGCCTCCCACCAATCTTGCCCTGGCTTAAAGGTTGTCTCCCCGTGTTTCCCAAGGACCAGCGAGGCCATGACATCTCCTCTGGAAGAAGGGACTGAGAGCTAAACTTGTCACTCCAGACAGCCCTGTTAGATCAGAGGGACACTTCATGATCACTTCCGCTAGAACTCCTAGTAGCCACTAGGAAAAGAGATGCTCAGTGGCTTAGATCAGCCCAGCCTTTCTGGACCCCTCACTGTGCCCCCCCCACCACCCGCCCAGCTGCCCAATTATCCCTACTGACCTCAGGGCAGAAGAGCTTCATCTTCCAAACTTGCTGACTCTACAGAGTGTGGAGCCTAGGCAGGGTTTGGCCAGAGTTTCCGCCTTCACACTCCAAAGCCCCAGCTGCACCAGAATCTCCAAGAGGAAAAAACTGCTGCGAGAAATTCGGAGCGTTTTTGTAGATGGTCACACACTACCCCACCCCATCTGGGGGTGGAGCCTTGGTGGGGTAGGGCGTGGGCTAGCAGTGGCCACACCCACTAGCAGGGCTTTGTGGCTGTGCTGTGTAGCTGGAAAGGCAGGGAAGAGGCTCAGGCAGCTGGGAAGAAGCTGCTGAGATCTGGCATATGGGTTCCTGAGGATTATAGGCTCAGAGAATACACTTTCTCTAGATCGCTGCCATGATGACATTAGCCGACCATAGACATTCTTGCCCTGGTGGATTCCTTCTTCCTTAAAGCAACAGGGTTGGAGATGGAACCCTAGGATATCAGACTCGTGGGGCAAGCATTCTACTACTGAGCTATGCTCCTCAACACTTAATATATATTATTTCTTTTTTGTTTTGATCGGTCATGGGGCTTGAACAGCTTTGATGCTGTCC